CCTTTTTCATTTGCAAACTTTTGCCCAGGTGAGTCCTTGACTTAAAAAAAAAAATGGTTCGTTTAGTTTAACATCACATCATTTGGGACTGGGTTTTTTTTTTTCACACTTAACAACCGTTGCAGTGTTCCCCGTGGCTCAAAATTCCGACGCTTCGAAACCGACTCGAGTTTGTGACAGTCGCAGCGCCTGGAGGAGCAAAGTCCTCTCCAGATAGAGCAATGGGGTGGGGGGGTGGGGGAAAGCTGGACTCACTTAACAACCAGCTGGCTAAATTACACAATGGCGGCGATTCGTTTAACAACGGGGCAAAAGTCACTCAAACCAATGTCTCCTTTAGCGACAGGAATTGGAGGGGGTCGTCTCGATGGTGGGTCGTTCAGGCGAGGACTCCCTGTTCAGAGCCGGGCGCTGGGAGAGGGGAACCCCTCCCTGTCCGCAGAAACAACAGATACACACAACACGCAGCTCTTACTGTGCACACACGTGATGTGTTCCTCCCGCAGCAGACCGGGCTGAGCCATGTTCTCGGCTGGCCTCTCTTCGGCCTCTTCGGGAGCCGCCTCGACCGGCCGGCCCTCGCCTTCCGCCCGGCCGGCCAAAGGATCCACCGGCCACTTGCTGTCCCGGCTCCCTTGGAAGAGTTTCTCAGCCACGTGGCCTCCGATGCTACAGACGTTGCTGATGAGGATTGTGGCGTCCGGCAAGCCGGGCAAGGAGCAGAGGTCGCCGTCCGCCGGAGGGAGACAGGCAAAGCCATTGGGAAGGGCATCCAGAGCGTCTGCAGGACAGGGGCGGGGGAGAGAAGTTTGGGGTGTGTGTGTGTGTGCTTCCAGCCAGAAGTTTCCCCAGCCGGAATGGCCATCGTCAGGAAGTGAGGGGAGCCGAATGTCAACCTCATCAAATAGTTCTACGGTCTTTTTAGAGTTGCCAACAGAAAGGGAGAGGGAAGCAGTGCGGCGGCTGGGAAACCGAAAGCGCATTCTGTAACTAGTTTTTCAACGATAGCAACTAGGTGACTGACGTTTCTGCCATGCAAAATTCTAACTGGAGACCATGATCGATGATTCAGGGCAATGGACGTGTCTCATTGGAGAATATGAATGATGATACACCCAGAGGGGTGGGGGGAAAACCAGGGTCAAAGGTGACAATGAATCATGCGTCACAGAGTCTGGCTACACCCAGGCAGTGCTGACATGTTAGCTCCCAATAAATCCTTTCGAAGTTTTGGAAGTTTCTGTTCTGACCCAGGCTTCGTCAATCGTAATGAATTGCCAACTTGTTTTCAAAGCAAAACCTATTTTATTGCAATGCTGGGAACTGCTTTCATTCCCAGCCGGAGCTAATCTTAAACAGTTCCCCTAAGATAAGCGCCCACCTTTCAGTGCTGTGGAAAGCTGCCAAAAACAGAAGTATGCAATTAACTATAAAAGAAACCAACCGAAGTACAAGAAAAAAACCAACCAGAGTACACTGAGCTTCAAGGAGGACTTGGAACTGATCAAACAACCTTGCTTCCTGCAAAGAGTTCATCATTGAGGGCTGACTTTTATCCCTTATGGGAGGGGCAATCACCTTCCAGCCTTACTCTCGAGTCGCCCCTTTTGTTTCAGCTACTCTTGCCTTCTGGCAGCTCTGTGCATACGTACACTGGGAACAGGCTCCCCTGGCTCCTCTTCCTCGCTGCTGCCAGACTCTGAAGGCTCCGGATGCAGCACCCCACTCCCAGATGGTCCTGGCCCCATCCCTGCATCGGACGCAGGACCCTCATCCGAGTCCTCTCCAGACTCCCTGACTGGTCCCCTTTCTTCCCCACTGTCCGATTCCGCTGCCGTCTGCACCGGCTGCCGGCGAACGACAAGAGTTTGGCTCGAGACTCATGATTTAAGGGGGGGGGGGGGCTTTGCAGGAAACAATTCGTTCATTCATTTGTTGCCGCAGTCTGTGCATCTCAGAGACTCTGTCCTTGTCAGCACTGCGTTTGGAATATAGTTACTTGACAGCTCTCCAAGCTAAATAAGGTCTGTGCTCCTCATCACACCCTGGAAAGACTGTTTGCCAGGCCTTTGGCTGAATGTGAATGCCAAGAATTCACCTTCGTTTAAGAAAAGGGGTTTTGCTGGGACAAAAAAACTTTAGGTCAGAACAAGCCGGGGGGGGGGGGGGGGGAGGGTTGGGCTAGAAAACCCCCAGGGTCCCTTCTGCATTCTGGCTGGTCTTGGATGAGGGTTCCCCTGAAGCCTCCCTCCTTCCGTTTGTTGTTCTGATCGCTGTGGGGGTTTGTTTTGCGCGTGCTTTTGACAATCGGTTGAAGGCAAAAGGAGAGAGGGGGAACGTCAAGAGGACGGGATGGTTAGGGAGGGTCACCAAAACGACGAACGTGAATTTGGGCAAAGCATGGGAAGAGAGCGGAGGGCCTGGAGTGCTGTGGGCTCCATGGGAGTCGTTGGGCTCCTGTCTCCTTGAGCTGCAATGCCCTCTCCTCCTAACGACATAAGCTGGTGTTAAATCAGGGCTCCCATTGACTGGCGAAGGGCCCGTTTCTTCGGTCATGTCCACGGCTGTTTTTGTACTGGTTCACCCAACAATCTCAGTAGCTGCAAAATTGAATGGATGTCCCACGTATAGCCCAACGCACGCTTTTGGCTAGGGCAGGGGTCTCCAACCTTGGCAACTTTCAAGACCTGTGGACTTCAACTCCCAGCTGCCTGGGGAATTCTGGGAGTTGAAGTCCAGATATCTTCAAGCCTAACTGGGTGGAGAATTCTGGGAGTTGTAGTCCAGATATCTTCAAGCCTAACTAGCTGGGGAATTCTGGGAGTTGAAGTTCAGATATATTCAAGCTTAACTGGGTGGAGAATTCTGGGAGTTGAAGTTCAGATATATTCAAGCCTAACTGGCTGAGGAACTCTGGGAGTTGAAGTCCACAGGTCTTAAAGTTGCCACGGTGCTAGAGAGAAGTTCCTGTTCTGGTTCGCCGGCAGCAGGTGCGGATGGCAGAGGAGAGCGAGGACTCAGAGGAGGGGCCAGGACAATCAGGGAGTGGACTGCTGCCTTCAGAGATTGTTGGGGGTGGCAGCAGTGATGAGGAGGTTCCCAAGGAGCCTGTGCCAAGTGCGCGCAGGATTGCTCGTAGGAAAGAGCAGCTGCAGCAGCACAGGTGACTCAGGAGTAAGGCTGCAAGGTAATGGCCCCTCCTTCAAGGAGATAAAAGCCAGCTGTGAATGGGACGTTCTTTGCAGGAAGCAAAGGCGTTTTGAAAATCAGCCTCATGGACATTATAGTATCTTAAGTTGCTATTTGAAGACTCTTGCGTTGTGAAATATTTCTTATCTGTTATTCTTGGCAGCCTCGTGCAGTTTTGGTGAGGCTTGTGCTTATCAAACTTAATTAGTTTGCAGCAGCCTTTTAACCGGGGATTCGTTAAGAATCATTAAAAGGTTTCTGTTCCCTTTGGTTCGCATTGGTTTTATTGGAGAAGGGTTTGGGTCAGAACAGTTCCTCAGCTCCAGCACGACTCCGAAAGACTAAACTTTTGGTCCCGATAACTGACCCAGATTGGATCCTGCAACATTCTCCTGGGACACGTATATTGGCCTTCAGTGCGTGAAAAATATGAACCATGAAATAGGACTTTCCCCACCCTACCACAAAGTGAGGTGCCAGAGATGGAGGCCTCCTTCCTGAACAGTTTTCCAAACCACAAAATGAGACCCCGAGAGACAATCCTTATAACCACCACACATCAAGTCCCAACAGCCTGTGATACCACTTCACAGCACGATGGAGTGACTATACCCAAATTGCTCGGCCTTTACCCTCTCCATCCCTGAGTCTCAGCCTGAGAGGTGCAGACTTCCAACTCCCAGAATTCCCTATCCAGCAAGAATTCAGCCTGGATTCTCCAGAATTCAGCCTGGAAAGGACAAGGACACATTGGGGCTGGAGTTTATCGCATTTTTTTTTATTTGATTGGGTAGCTTTCTTAATAGATAGTGGGAATGCAATTGAAGTAATATACCTTGAGTTCAGCAAAATAAAATAAACAACCCATGGCAAGCTAAATTAATAAAAAGGTTAAATATGGGCTACATGGTATTGTGGTCCTCCGGCGGCCTGTGGAGACAGCAGCAGAGTCGGACAGTGGGGAGGAACATGGGCCATTCCTGGAGTCTGGGGAGGAGGACTCGGACGAGGAAATCTGCGTCCGAAACAGGGATGGGGCCAGGGCCATCAGGGAGTTATGTGCCGACTTCAGAGCCTCTAGAATCTGATAGCAGCGAGGAAAAAGAACAGCGGGAGCTTGTTCCCAGTGTGTGCATTCAGAGCTGCCAGAAGGCAAGAACGGTTAAGACAAAAGGGGCGATTGGGGAGTAAGGCTTGGAGGTGATTGGCCCCTCCTGTGACATAAAGGAGAAGCAAAGGGACAGGAGTCTTCGCAGGAAGCAACCTTCGTTTCCTTGTGGTCGGTTTTAAAATCTGAAGCTCTGTTTGGCCTTGTACAGCTAATGGGCCATTTAGTCGTTGGCACCATTTCAAGGGAGATTAAAGGTGGGTGCTGATCAGCCTTATCCCGAAGGACGGTGGCAGAACTTCTGTTGGACTGTTTGGGACTCATTACGGGCTGGGAATGACTATAATTCACAGCCGTTGAAATAATAAAAAGAGGGTTTGGGGGACTAAGTGTGTGATTGTTATTGTCTCAGGAAGCCTTGGTCAGAACACATGGCCTGACCATTAAATGGGAAACTGATATGCTGGCTAGGGAATTCTGGGAGTTGAAGTCCATCCCTCTTGGAAGACGCGGAGTTCGAAAAATACTGTTTTACCTTTTCGGGGCACGTTATGGATTTATCTTCTAACTTATCTCGTTCAGATCAATAAATATCTGGGCCCAGAGAACCATTAATAAATGCTGCAATTTGAAAAGACAACCTTCCGCTGATCCTTCGTTCTAGACTGGATCTGGGTTCTAGAGCAGGAAAACACACACGCACACACACATCCAGATTGTCTTTTACCTCCATCTCCGTCCAGGTCGTGCTGAGGCTCTCCCATCTTCCTAGTCCTGGGGGACACTTGAACCCCTCGGGCTGGGTATTTGAGCAGGGCGGCCGGTTCTTCCACCCCGACTTCCATCACGCCGGGCTCCTTCTCGAAGCTCACCCGCTGGAGCTCCATGTACTGAGGATAGGGGGATGCCTCGTCCATCAGGGCCTCCAGCAGGCCGAGGCGGGAGTGATGAGGAGTGGATGGAGACAGGGGGAAGGCTCCACCCAAGGCGTAGTCCAGGTGGGGCTCAGAAGGGTGGGGCTGGTCCTTGGCCGCGCTTTGGCAGTCCTCTGCCTCCGCTCCCAAAGGGCAGCTTTTCTTAAAGACGGGCAGGTGGTTGTCATCGGGCTGGGAGCTGGGGGAGAGGGACACGGAAGACCGGGCCCGTTTGGCCCCTCCCCGCCGGCGTCCCTTGGTGGCCATCTTGCCCAACAGCTTCCAGTGGAAAGCCAGGGAGCTCTTGGAGTATAGGAACATGCGGAAGGCACGCAGCGCTCGTTGTCGCTTACGGCGGAAACAATGTCTGGAGGTCCCCAGGAGCTGCGGGC